ATTTATTGACAAATAAAATTAATTTTTATAAGAGTGATTGATAGCCACATTGGTTATGACAACAGCTTGACAAGTTTACAAGCGACAGACCTGAGTTCAATCCCAGGCTGGGTCAAAACTTTTTTTTAAATTTAAATCTACTAATTTGACTATTTCATTAAGTAGAATTTGACTTATTATTAGTGACTGCTTTTTCGCTAGGACAATTAATCAAATATGACTTATAATTAGTCATTTTAAGAGAGTGTTATCTTTGTGTTCATTTATCAACATTTCTTATTAAAATTCTTTTAATTTAAGTAAGTTAACAGATTACAGTTGGTTGTAAACAACATAAAGTTATGTGGACCTGGATTACCATATAATCTGGTTAATAATTGGTTAAAATTAACAAATATTTTTTTACCGCGTAAAATGTCCGTATCCTTTCATAATTCTCGCTTTATATACTATATTATGGCCATTACGTTCCTAATTCCTAAAGGGATAAAGACCATTAAAATATAAAAAATATTAAAACCTAAAAAGGTTTCTGGAAAAATTTGACAGTGAGGGTTAATGAGAGTGCTCAGGGTAAGAATTTTCTCGCTACAGTAATACTAAATTAATTTTTTGTTGAATTATATTTCCTTTGATAATGTGGCTAAATTTTACACTTTTTTGTTTTTTTATTATACACTCATAGGCAAAATAATCGATCCATACAAATTTTCGATGAATTTCAATCGCAAATAACTTGTTTATTTGATGTCGGATTTAAACGAATATTAAAGAATATTGTAGATAAATTAATGGACAATCGCTCACATTTAAAAAAAAATACTAAAAAATACACGTACGTTTATAATATACAGGTTTAAACAAAAACAGTTTTTTACCATACCATACTCTGTAGAGTGGCTAAACCGTATATTGTTCTAAATTAAGTTTTAATTATTAAGTAACATCTATTTTTAACAGTTTTGTTTTTGGTTCACTATGATATATTTATTTTTGTGGAAAATATGTTTTTTTAAAAAACATTGCAATTGTCAATATATTTCTGTATGAAGAACTAAGGTTGCTATGGTCCATCCATAGCCTATAGAGGATGACAGTGACAGTTTTGTTGAATCATCCCATACTTGGACATGTCATACACGGCTTTCAAAAGGTATCAAATTGTTTTTTGTAAATTAACGTGTTAATTTTGAGGTGTATTCTTACTTTTAAAAATGTCTCCGACTGATGTTGCCCTTTGTACTTTACTTCTTGTGACGTTTTAAACACTTGCCACGTAATACTGTGACCGTCCATCCTGGATTTAATTAACATTAATTTACAAAAAACAATTTGATAGCTTTTGAAAGCCGTGTATGACATGTCTAAGTATGGGTTGATTCAACAAAACTGTCACTGTCATTTTCCATAGCCTATGGATGGACCATAGCAACCTTAGTTCTTCATACAGAAAAATATTGGAAATTGCAATGTTTTTTTAAAAAATCCATATTTTCCACAAAAATAAATATATCGAGGTGAACCAAAAACAAAACTGTTAAGAATAGATGTGACTTGATAAATAAAACTTAATTTAGAACAATATACGGTTTTGCCACTGCAGAGTGTCTTAAACTTATGGTAAAAAACATCTTTTTGTTTAAACCTGTATATTATAAACGTACGTCTATTTTTTAGTAATTTTTTAAAATGTGAGCAATATTCTTTAATATTCGTTTAAATCCGACATCAAATAAAAAAGTTATTTGCGATTGAAATTCATCGAAAATTTGTGTGGATTGATTATTACTAAATTTTTGTAGTAACTAAATTTGACAATGTTCAAAACGAAAACTTACCTTCCCTCAGCGTCTCGGGTGGCATCTCCACCTCCACCTTGAGATTCGGCAGCTGTATGGGGGGGTCGCTTCTACCCTTGGCATTTTCTGCGTACACGTGCACGTGGTATTCTCTGCCAGGTTCGAGGCTGTGCAGACGGAACACGGGACGCTCTCCAAGGACCCGATACATCGGCCCGCTCGTCTCGCCTGTAATCGGATTAACTAGAAACTGGAGATCTTAGTATCCACGAAATGGTGCCTGCATGTTTATGTGGGTTAGTGTGTGAACGCACAGTGAGGAGATTGACCAAATATGTCATCTAGAACTTTGTTAATATAGAAAACATTAATACAGAGTTCAAAACGTCATGTTTTAGAGAAACTCTCTTGAAGAGGAATGGTAATGTTTTCAGTTTTGTGAAAAATTGAGTTTTTTTTTCAATTTTGGATAATAATTTTACTAAAACCTGATGGAGCGCCTCCCAAGTAACATATTAGGTTTTATTATTGCCTTTTTTAAAATTACACCTTAAAGCTATTTGTACTTTTATGTGCAGTTACAGCAGGTTTATAAGTCCTATAAGACTTTCTTAGAACCAAAAAGGAAATTCCTTTTATTAAGATAAGATAATTTATTACTGAAAGTATAGGGAGTTATTAGGTATTAGTTAAATTGGAATTGAAGTACTCCTCATATGAGAAAAAGTCATTCAGAATAAGGTAGTTTAGAGCTTTAATTCTAGCTATAGAACTTTATTGCTAAAGATTTTCTTTAACGTGCAACAAACACTGCATAATGTAAGCAAGGTAAAGTTAAAATTTTTAGATCTTTAAAGTAATTGCGACAGTCCTCTCTATAGCCAAATGCCTTGTTAATGTGATAAGAGTGAACCCAGAAAAGAATAGCATAGGTTAAATGAGAAAGTTGCTGTGGTATGCTGTTAGGAGAGTTTCTTTGGAAGTAACCTGTACAAGATTCCTAAATAGAAAAAGTTGACGGGATAGTTTTTTTGAAAGATTGGCTTGGCTTCTATTGCACATTGAGGTAGAAATTGGTGTTACTCCTGAGAGTAAAATTGATACGTTGTGATTTAGAGTTATTTAAGGATAGACGATTAGCTAGAAACCATTGAAATAGTTTCTGTTCTGAAGTTTGGTAATCAAGTTTGTCAATTTCTGAAGGGTGATAGCTTATGTGAAAGGTTGTATCGTCAGCAAATATGATGAGAGTGCGCCAGGTCATTGATATAAATGAAGAATAAGGTGGGGCCCAATACCGACCCTTGAGGTGCACCATACTTCAAGAATTGCTTTTTGAATCACATCAACTATGAGTTTTTCCCACTTTTTTAGAATTTGTTCTAATTTTTTTATTAAAAGTAGTCAGGTTTATAATTTATTATTAATATTAATTTTGCATTATTTTTTAATTTTTCTTACTTTTTTTATTATTTGTTCTAATTTTTTATTAAAAGTGGTCGAGGCTCAGGTTAAAAATTAATTTAAAAATCTGAATTTTTGGAAGTACCTTCAGAAAAGTAAAAAAGTAGGAATTTAATTTTGAATTTTTTTTTTAATTTTGAGTTTTTTCAACTTTTTTAGATTTGTTCTAATTTTTATATAAAAAGTGGTCGGGGCTCAGGTTAAATTTTAATTTTAAATTAATTTTTGGGAGTATCTAGTAAGAAAAAAAGTAGTTTTTCCCACTTTTTTAGGATTTAGTTATTTTTATTTTTTTATTTTGGTCGGGCCTCACGTTAAAAATTAAAATTTGAATTTTTGGGAGTAGGTACCTTCAAAATAGTAAAAAAAACCTCGTTTGAATTTTTTTTATTATTATGAGTTTTTCCCACTTTTTTAGAATTTGTTCTATTTTTTTTATTAAAAGTAGTCGGGGCTCAAGTTAAAAATTAATTTAAAATAAATTTTTAGGAGTACCTTCAGGATAGTAAAAAATTAAGAAAAAACCTCGTTTGAATTTTGTTTTAAAGTTTTTCTCACTTTTTTATTATTTGTTCTATTTTTTTTATTATAACTGGTAGGGGCTCAGGTTAAAAATTAATTTAAAAATATAAATTTTTGAGAGTATCTTTAAAAAAGTAAAAAAGTGGAAATTTTATTTATGATTTTTTTTTTGTAATTATGAGTTTTTTCCACATTTTTAGGATTTGTTATAATTTTTTTATTAAAGGTGTTCGAAGCTCAGGTTAAAAATTAATTTAAAAATCTTAAATAGGACAGTTCTCTCCAGAAATTTGGTTTTAACTGCTTTCATAAAACATACTTTTTAAGATACTTTAAAACCAATATACTGTCATAAAGCTAAGTAGGCCTTAACCGTTTCATAAACCTTTAAAGAGTGTAATAAAGCTGTGATATAATATTTAGGTAAAGGACAAGCGTCACATCTGTTACTTCGGCTATTATATATTTTTATCTCCACGCGGTCTATAATTTAAACTTTATTGTTGTTAACATTCGATAAAGAAATACCTTGTTATGGCCTAGGCCGATAAAATTTTTATGAGGCAAGTAATTAGTTTAATATTTTTCATTAAATTATTGTAAAATAAATATGATTAATAAAACAAAAAGTGAGGTTAGGCAACCAAGAAAACCCACGATTCTTTTTCTACGATTTAAATTATCTTTACGTTTTAATTTGCTTTAAGTTTTCAGTAAAATTAAATGTTAAACATTTCAAACTGCCAATTTTTAAATAAGAATCCAAACAAATTAAAATTAGATACCTACCTATTTATTAAACAATTAATTGAATTCAATGTAATAGCAAAAATCCATTTCTACTTAAATCATGTTGCTAGGTATTGTCTAATTATTACTGCTTCTAAAAGCAATAATAATTATTGTACATTAAATGTAATCTTTGGCTAATAAATAAATGAGATTCTAAAAAAGTGAGGTTAGGTCGCACAAAAAGCCTTACTTCTTAACCTAATGACATAAATAACTATTATTTAAGTGTCTACAGTAAAGTTTAAAAACGATGAAAGAGTTTAGTTGGGTATTTGGTGAATTTAACAAACTTTTGCGTAAACGTTAATTTTCCTACAGCGATATGCAACAAAATTAAACTAGCAAACATGCAATCCAACAACAACAAGTAACAAGAACAATGTCGAAAGTTGTGTAAATGAGTGGAGGAAGAGAAAGACTAACCTTGATCGCTGAGCGTGGTGACTCCGGGCGGCAGGGTGGGTATGGAAATATCGGTAACTTCGAGAACGAAACTTTGGTGCAATCCGCCATCCTTTCCCGCAATACAAGACACTTCCAGGCCGCCATGTGACGCGTTCCGCAGTATGCAACTCTTGGGCGACTCGGGAGCCGCTGAAAAGTCAAAAGTTTTGCGCTCTGAACTCGAACTTTCGCACTTGCACACAACATGAACGGGTAGTTTCGAGCTTTCTTTGACGGAAACTTTGGATAAATATATTTTTAAAGTTAACAAACAACTTTACAACTTCAAAATAACAGTTTAAAAAGCGAGATAACAATTTATACATTTTAAAGCCAACAATTACCACAAGGCTTTTTGTGTTATTACTCCAGGAGTACCAAAATATTAAAATATCAAGAGTATCAATATATCATAATATCAAGAATATCAAAATATCAACATATTAAAATATTAAAATATCAAAATATTAAATTATAAAAATATTAAATCATCAAAATATTGAAACATCAAAATATTAAAATTCCAAATTCTTAAATCATTAAATTATCGGGGGTAATTACACAAGTGCTTAAAAATTATCGATAATTTTGCTTGAAAGCATATTGCCTAAAAAATGCATGAGTTCATTTTCATATTTTGGAAAGAGCCCGACACCGAAGGTGGAGGGCTCTTTCCTCAAAATATGAAAATGACCGAATGCATTTTTTAAAAGGAAATATGCTTGAATGCAAAATTATCTGATTATTTTTATGCACGAGTGTAATTTGTTTAGATAATTACACGAATAAACTAATTAAATCAAAGAATAACAGTTTTAAATATTTTAACACTATTTTTCACATTTACATTAATTGATTCAAATGATTCTTTACCAAAACGTGACATTAAAATAACTGTCACATTAAATAAAAATATGACGTTATTTTTATTAATTGCCATGGATACGTAGATACAATGGAATTATCGATTCCTAGTAGACAATTATCGCTGTAATCAAGCGGTAATTGTCTTGTAGGCATATATAAGAGGGTAATTATCAAATTAATAAAATATTAATATATCAAAATAATTTAAATATTTAATTATAAAACTATCAAAAAATTAAAATATTAAATCATCAAAACATGAAACATCAAAATAATAAAACAACAAAAATATCAAAATATTAAAACATTCAAATATTAAATAATCAAAATATTAAATCAATAAAATATCACAATATCGAAATAATAAAATACCAAATTATCAAAATATTAAAACTTCAAAATATCAAAATATTTAAATAATAAAATATCAAAGCATCAAAATTATAAATTATTAAAATATTAAAATATTGAAATATCAAATTATCAAAATATTAAAATATTGAAATATGAAAATATCAAAACATCAAAATATTAAATCATAAAAATAATCAAAATATTAATACATCAAAATGTTAAAATATTAAATTATTAAAATATTAAAATAACAAAATATCAAAACATTGAATCATTAAAATCGAAATATTGAAAATATCAAAATATTAAAACATCAAATTATCCAAATATTCAAACATCAAAATATTAAAATACCAAATTATTAAATATCAAATTAATAAAATATTAAAAAATCTCAATATAAAAATTAATTAAAATAATAAAATATTAAAACAATAAAATATCGAACCATGAAAATATTAAAATATTAAATCATCAAAATATTAAAATTCCAAATTCTTAAATCATTAAATTTACAAATTAATAAAATATTAAACAATCAAAATAATAAAATATCAATAAATTAAAATATAAAAACCTCAAAATTTAAAAAATCTAAATATTAAAATTTCAAAACAATAAAATGTAAAACCATCAAAATATTTAAATGTAAAAACATATTAAAATATTAAAAAAATATTTAATCATAAAACTATCAAAAAATTCAAATATTAAATCATTAAAACATTGAAACATCAAAATATTAAAACAACAAAAATATAAAAATATTAAATTATCAAAATATTAAATCAATTAAATATCACAATATCGAAATAATAAAATACCAAAATATTAAATTATGAAAATATTAAAATATTGAAATATCAAAACATTAAAATATTAAATCATCAATATATCAAAACATCAAAATATTAAATTATCAAATATTCAAAATATTAATACTTAAAAATATTAAAATACCAAAATATTAAATTATTAAAATATTAAAACATCAAAATATCAAAACATTAAATCACAAAAATATCGAAATATTAAAATACCAAATTAATAAATCATTTAAATATCAAAATTTCAAAATATCAATATATTAAAATATCAATATATCAAAATATTAAAATATTAAAATATCAAAATATTAAAATAATAAAATATTAATATATCCAAACATTAAAATATCAAAATACCAAAATATAAAATTATCAAAACATTAAAATAATAAAATATCAAAACATCAAAATAATATATTATCAAAATATAACATTACTATTTAAAATATTATATTAATTAATCAGAACATCAAAATATCAGAATTAATTTTTAAATCATTAAAATATCAAATAATTCAAATGTTAAAAAATGCTGAAATTTCTCTATGTATTTTTAACACTTTTACATAAAATATGTTTTAAATTCAAAATTAAATTACTCATTTTAATTTAAAACACTTTTTTAGACACCAAAAAGTGCTTTTTTATCATATAAATTTAAGGAGCTATTAGAGACAGGTTAGTAAAAGGTTTATTTTCTTGTTTACGTGTTTCTTTGTTCATGTAAAGACGCATTCTTTCCATGGCTTCGGAATTCTTTTTCCTTGTTAACTAATAAATATAATGTTTTTGGAATGCTTTTGATGAAAACTGTAGGCCTTCTTTTATATTAATTTGTCTTTAAATTTAATATTGCCCATAAATATAATAGATAATCTATTGCCATTTAAACATGATATATTAATAGCATAGTTTTGTTATACTTTTATTACTTATATAAAAATACTATAAAAATAATTTTTTACTAACTTAAAGCATTTGGCTCTGGTAAAATGATCTATCAGATAGTAGGTAATGGAAAATTTTAATGGTCAATGATGCTGACACTCTAAGTGCAGATCCTTGTAAAAAAAGAGAAGGACAACTAAAAGCCGAACGAAATGCGTAGCACCAACCAAAAAGGCATATTCTCGCCCGAAATTTATAAGCACTAAGCTCCGTTATAACTGTCTCAGGTTCAATAGGGAAACCTGAAATATGTTTTGCAGGTTTCGACGATTACATTAAATAAATTTGCGTAAACTGGACCATATCCGTTAGGACTATGGCCCGATTTAGCTCTGTCGTTTCACGCAATCTTGAACTTCCGGATAAGGTTCAAATAAAATTGTGATTCCAGTTCGATTTCCCGCCGGAATCCTTTATTGTAGGCTCACGTTTATTTCGTTTATTTGTACCAAAATTACTTTTAGTTTTATATTTATATTTTTTATTAATTTTACAATAATTACACAGTTCAACACGATTTTTCTCCCATGAAAATTTTAACAGATTTTAATAATAAAGGTTTTTAATCTATACATTTTTAATTCTCTCTTTTGTTATAAATCATTTTTTTACTTCAAATATTGTATGTTTTTACATTTTTTTTTAATAAAACAAGAGATTTGTTTTTATCTTATATTTATTGTATTGTCTTCGAAAGGTTAGATATGATTTTAAAATATTTGAGTTTGGACAGCAAAATTTTACGTTTCCCACAATCAAATGCTTTAGATAGGTCAACGTATAAAACCATAATTTTTTCAGTCATGTCCAAACCTTTATGTATGTAATCTAAAATACTTTTTCTACCAATTTTTTGTGAAACTTTTATTTTGTGAATTCCTACATGCTGCATTTGCCTTTTCTGTAGACAAAAAAGCGTCGACTTGGAAAATTGAAGGGTCGTAGTACGGCATATTTTCTATAAAAAGCACATTTTTTTCTGGCGCCTGTAATCAAAAATTCCAAAAATTACTATGTTTTCACTGTAGTTTTTATCAACGAAAACTTTTTCCATAAGTATTTTTTTTCGATTGCTCAGACACTCTTATCGGATATTGTTTCCACATTTTTTTTTCTTGAGCCTTTATTGGAAATAAATTTGAACTAAATGCTTTTTTTAATTTTACAAATAAACAACCGTTTTCATTAGCTATTAAAGCCCCGTTTTCTTGATAAAGGCATTGGTTTTGCTAGCTTAACGTTTTTTAAATTTAACCATGACATTTAAATTGACCCTGCTAAATTCTAAAAAATTTACCGTTGTTTTTTTATACTCTCTAAAAATTAATTAGTCAAAAAATACTAATTTAGTAGTTATTAGTGGCTGCTTTTTCACTTGTACCATAGTTAACCATGGAATACCATGGTATTCCAAAATTTAATAGCCAATTCTTATCTAAAATGTCCCCTGAATACCGTCAAAAATTATGAAAGTGGAGCATTTTTCGAGATTTACTCAATTCATATTAAATGGAAAATTGACTATATCTCAAAAACTGTTCTACTTTTTTAACTTCTGACATTTTCGGATTCAAGGGACAATTTTACATAAGAATTGGGTGTTAAATTTTGGGATACCATGGTATTCCATGGTTAACCATGGTACAAGTGAAAAAGCAGCCACTAATAAATATTAAATTAGTCATTTTTGACTAATTAATTTTTAGAGAGTATAACTATAGTTATTATAAAAAGTATAGCCGAGGCTACTATAATAGAGCTTCTGTAAAAGTTAACAAAAAACAATCGCTGAAATAAAGAAACAATTTCAGAAATTCCTTTCGAATTAAAAGAAACGCTTCTAACAAAAATGAAAGAATAAAGCCTTAAGTCGTTCTTGTTGTACAATTGTGGGCAAAAAATAAATTAACGAAATGGCGGCAAAAAGTCCAGCCAGCCGCCGCTGTTTTTTGCATTCCGACCTGAACGTAGAAAACATTAATCATATAAACTTTGAGTTAGTTTTCGCAAAATATAGCGTATACGTAAGTATAAAGCTGTGGAATTAAGTTCGGCTAGAAGAGGGTCCTTAGGGTAGGGTAAATGATAAACGTCGATATTTTTTCGTTAGATTTGCACATCGAGGTTTGAAGAGCTTTCGTAAAGTAAGTAATTAACGGGTTAAGTAGTTTGAATATTCATAAGGTTGGATGAGACTTCGAGATACGAATATGGTAATGAAATTACTCTACTAGTTATATTATCAAATTTTCGAGGTGTATAAACTTTGCTTCATTATTAAACTACCTAATTTTAAATATAACGAATTCAATTTTAATTTTGTCGACAAGTTACATGCCAAATGTCTTTCTTTGCTAAATATTCCGTCTAAATTAAATGTTCATCATGCATGAGCAAATACACTGTTAATTATAAGATCACGTAATAAGTTTGCGGTGTATTTTTGGGTACGCTGTTTTGACTAATTTAAGGTGTAGTACACAGTGTGAACTACAACCACAAGGCTGTATATTTCGTTTTAAATTAAATTTATAGTACGACAAAATTTGGTTTTTTTCCCTCCGAAGAAAAATTTCTAGATTTTGAAAATAGACTAAAAAAATGATACCCGTGTCCCGGCATTAAAGAAACATTTCCATTTACAAAATACAGGGTGTTTTACGCTTCTGGGAAACGGCAAAATATATTGATTTGAAATTTTTTAAGCATTTATAATCCAATTAAGCCTATTTTTCTAAAATATTTTGAACAAAATTCCACTTCCGGTTTGACCGGAAGTAACGTCAACTTTATAATTTCATATTTATTTACACTTTTAAATTCTACATAAGTATTAATTTTTTTCGTTAGAATTTGACAAATGAGCGTCAATTAAAAATAGCCTATAAACTTATTAAGGAACTAGAAGTATATTGGTTTGTAGTAGAAAAAAAAATGCATAATATAAGTTTTTTCCTGATTAAAAACGAGTTTATTTACACCCAGATATGACGCTATATTTTTCAAATTAGGTTGTAGTTCTTTAGCCAGTGTCAGGAATCATTTTTGGTGTATAAAAAGCATTGTTATTTACTTGTGAGAAAAGTATTTTTCAAGCTAAAAGTAAAATTCGATGAGCGATCTAAAATTGACGTTTAAAAAATTAAATTCGCCTAGTTGTTTCATCCAGTTTTAAGTTTTGTCCAAATTTAGAGTACCTATACATTTGGGTTTGAAGACAATCCATTTCATCACTTTAAACCATAAATAAAAAAATCCTTTTTTGTAACTCTGTGGACTTTCGAATTTGAATGATTGCATAATGAAATATATAAAAATGAAATAAATATATTTTCTAACTTACTGTTTTCAAAAATCTTACTAAACAATCAAGCAACAAAACTCCCTGTATCCTCCGATGACGTCCCTATAAATCAATAACTAAACTGTATTAAATTTCTTACCTGCAGGCACAATATAAAATAAACATGGCGTCTGTTGCCTTCCCACTTCGTTCGTCGCCCAGCACGATAGAGATTCCAGATCCTCAGTTCCAGGATTGAAGTGCAGCACCGAGAGGTTTCCAGTGTTCTGCATTTTCGCTCCTTGGACCGGAAGCACGCCCCTGGATGTGTTGTAGGTCCAAGAGAATCTAGTCACCCTCGGTACGGCATCCACGTGACATTGGATCACCAGGGTTTCCAGGGGGAGCATGCCCACCCGCATTATTTCGTAGCCCTTTTTGCAATGGGGGGCGTCTGAAATAAAAAAATATATCTGTTAATTTACAAAAGTTGATATAATATTGATTATGAATATAGAGATAATATAATATAAATATGGATATAGATTAATAAATTGATTAATATTAAATTTAAAAGTTCGTGATTTAAAAATTTTTAGTGCGAAGGTGACCAGTTATATTCAAACCAAAAGGTATCACTTTTTCCCCATTTTCATTGGGAAACATTTCTGCTAATATGGAAAGAAGAGAGTTTTGCAAAAATTCTAAATACGTTTGTCCTGTCATATTCTCGTCCAAGCATAAATGACCTATGGTCAGATTTTCCACCATTTCTGCCCAGAAATTCACTTTTTGCCTGTATTGGGAATTGGCCTCTACTACCCAATGAGGATTTTCTCTGCACCAGTATCTACAATTTTGACGGTTGACTGTACCATTCAAACAGAACGTAGCTTCGTCCGAAAAAAATATTTTACGAGGAAAGTGTCTATTATTGTTACAAAAATTCATCATAGTTTCACAAAATTGTAGTCTTCGGTCCGGATCATCTTCGTTAACTTCCTGCACTAGTCTTATTTTGTATGGATGGTACTTTTCTTTCTTCATAAGACGTAATACTGAGCATTGGCTGACTTGACTTTCAGCTGCGACTTGGCTAGAAGCACTGTAAGGATCTTCTTCCACAAGTAACAAAATGTCAGTTTTAGTGTCTTCACTAATGCTCGGAAGGCCAGGTTTTGGAATATCTTTGACATGTCCAGTCTCTATGAATTTCCCTTCAATTTTACTAAACGTAGCACGAGTAATAGGTCGAGCTGGATACTTTGATTTAAATAAATTGAAACTTCTTGCTGTGTTCTAGTTTTATAAATGGCAGATATTTAAATACTTCGAAATATTTGGAAGACAGATACGCTCAACTAAAAGATTTTACACTTAGTAGTTAATACTTATACTTGCTATTTGTAATATAATAAAAAACAATAATAAACTGAAATAGTTGGACCTTGAAATATAGTTTATAAACATTTCACTTTGTAATTTTATCAAAACCCCATTAATAAAAACTATAAAACATTTTAAAAACTATAAATTTTTCACTTTTAATAATTAATAAAAATAGATAAAATATTCTCTGGAGAATCAGTGTTTTTTTTCGTTTTTTAGAAATAATTTTTGATTTTTATTTTATTTTTATAGTTAAATACCATATACCTCATTTTCATTTTACATGTAGACAGTCTGCATTCGGTTTTTAAGAGTGGAAGAATAATTTTTAATAGTGGGAGACCCCGAGAGACAGTTTTAGTCATTCATCAGTTGACCCTTCACCAGCGTTAGGGTATAGTCGAAGTTTGCTCTAGAATATTAATACGAATTACGTATTATTAAGTTAATTTACTTCTAAAAATTATTCAGATACTTAAAAATAACATAATCACTGTAAACAGTAAATTATTATTTAAAAGGTGTAAAGTCATTATTGGTTTTGCATTTAACTAAAAGTGTTTTCTTATAAAAAAACGTTTAAACATAAAAAATTCTCTTTAAAAACTAAAATAAAATGATTCTCTTGAAAACAAATTAAAATTAATAAATCAATTCTTCTACAACAAAACTAAAAATCAAACTTCTTAAAATAAATGTAAATAAATAAAAAAATTATTTAATTAATAAAAATAATAAAGTAAATAAAATAAAGTAATAATAAATTATTACTATCTGGATATTTAACTGAGAATAGGTTTTAGTTTGACGTAGAGAATTGCACACTAAAGACCAGCTTGTAATGTCAATTTTCTGTGCAATGTTAAAACGCTTGAAATACACACCAGCAAATGCAAATTATAACTGAATCGTCGCCTATAGAAATTCGCAATCTGGATGCACTCGAGTGTATACGCTAAAGGACTATAGCTAGTGGCGCCACCACTCGGCTGATATCATCGTACCAAAAGTATAACTTTTAATAATCAGCTGTCAAACGCTTAGGTTACAAATGAGTGTTTTTGAGAATAAAGCCAGCAAATGTTAAAAAATATCGAAAAAAAACCGTGGCTCGATTTGTTGTGTTTTTGGGTGTATTTCGAGAGGAAATCCTGGGTTGAGTTTTTTTGAATGAAGAAATAAATTGCATACAGTCTTTGTAAATATAAATTGTACCTATTAGATACAATAAAATCACATTTTAGTAGTGATTAACGTGAAAAGTGTAAACATTTCAATTCAGTAAAAATCGTCAAACAAATAAGTCGTCTAAATTAAAATAGCATTTAGCATTATTAAAAGCGTTGATTAAGAAAGTCTCCACTCAACGGTTAAATACCATTATATTATGTATTATATATAATATTATGTTGCCATGAATTCGTAGGTATATTTTGTTGTTTAAAATGCAGTTGTCGGCGTTTTTTAGAGAACTCAAATATAAAAGTGGTTGATTTTAAGGTTATGTTCGTGCAAAAATTATTTTTTACTAATTTCTTAAAAATGTCCAAACTTAAATATAAATTATATTAGGTAAAGTTATCATTAGTTAATTCTGCACCAACAAATGTACTGACCGAATTGGATCCTTTGGCAAAACATGAAAATTCAACAATTTAGTTCTTGAATTTTATTTACAATTAAAAACACAATAATTCGCCATGATCCCTTTGATAAAATACACACACTTACGTAACTATATAAGCATTTAAGCGTTGATATAAGCAATGATAGCAAAAGATAATTTTATAAATTAAAAACTAGCCGAATAAAATATAAGCATGTGGTAAGGTATTATAAAGAAAATGGAAATATACATAAAAGGGCGTTTTATTTCGAGACGAGATATTAATCTCGCCTCTATAAATATTAAAGTCATATTACGATAAGAAATACCGCAAAGAAATCTGTAGGACATAAGAAAATTTATCAGGAGTAAAAAACGAAACTTCTTCTTTGTATAGATACAGTCATTCTGCGGTTCCATAGCAATCTCGGAATTTCCGTCCGCTATCAGACGTGTCCTCGAAGTTTTCTGGTTTCATAAATAAGTGGGATTTATTGCGACATGCACTCCGTGACTCTACTTTTCAGCATCACTTGGCTGCAAATGATGGCACCCCGTCACACACCCACTTTTCCAGCATTTATCATTTCGTTATTCAAGATGTATAACAGCGGAAAGATATTTCGCGCCGACGCCCATTTAAACATTAAATTATATTAAGGTCCAAGGAAAAAGTGCGAAACTTAGCGCAGATACCGAGATTTGCATACTGCAAAGTTATTTGCAAAAAATGGAACCAAACACATTAAAGCGATTAGGCGACTTAATATAGCTTCTGCGACAACATACTATAAATTAAATACTAAAATTTAAACAATGATGGATAAATTATCATTAAAATTAAAAATTTATATTTATTTATATATAAAAATTAAAATACTTTTTCATTTATAGACAACACCTAAAAGCATAACACTGTTTTGTTTCAACATGTTAATGGTTTCTGTATTTAAGCTTTAGTAGTAACTATTATTGTGTACAATTTAATATGCGCATTTATAAATGCGCATATTAAATTGTACACAATAATAGTTACTACTAAAGCTTAAATACAGAAACCATTAACATGTTGAAACAAAACAGTGTTATGCTTTTAGGTGTTGTCTATAAATGAAAAAGTATTTTAATTTTTAATTTTATATTTTTATTTTAATTTTTTTAAATATTAAGTGGAAGATTTGTAAGCAGTTGAACTTTAAATTATAAAATAGATAATTTATAAAAACCCAGTATAAAATTGGTTAATTTTAGTTTCATGACCCCACTTTTCATTAAAAATTAATTATATGATTGCAAAAAATTTAAAAACTAGACAATCTTTTTTGTACTAAATGCCCATTTTTATAATAAAAAACTATTTAAAATATTAGGTAAAATTACTAAGAAGATTTACAATGGTATCATTTTCCACCGAAAAAAATAAACGGTTTAGGATTTATATTAAAATATAACGGTTTTTGAAGTAAATTTTTTTAAATGTTTAAACGATTTTTTTAACGTATTCAAATATTTTCAATTTTTTTTTAATTTAGAGTTTTAAAGATTCCTAAAAGATTCCAAAGATTTTGGAGAATTTATAAGATTACTAAAGATTTATCTCAAGTTTTACAAAGTTATAGAGGTTTAAATGGCCGCCTAAATAAAACGCCATTTTACAATAAAACAATATTTGGTTATTGAATATTTTATTATATTATCTAGATAAACTGTATTTTTGGAGAAAAAACGCCATATTTTTACAAAATACAAGGCCTACTATGTCAGTTTTTAAGAGTAAATTTTTAACAATTTATATTAGCGATTTTTTTAAACAAAATCAAAGGACGGCACTGGATTCACCACCCCTCAAAACGACCCTTTACTAAATTTTATTAAACAATTTTAAGTAGAAAAATGCACAATAATAACTACAAAAATTTATTCTGTCAAAGTTACCCATGAAAAAATCATTAAAATAAAATTAAACTTAAAGTTATATGTTACTATTAGTTTAATTTTATTTCAATGTTTTTTCATGCATGGGTAACTTGACAGAATACATTTTTGTAGTTATTATTGTGCATTTTTCTTCTTAAAATATTTCAATAAAATTTGGTATGGGGTCGTAAAAACTGAGTAAAAATATGGCGTTTTTTTACATAAAAAAGTTGTATAAATAAACAAACAAAGACAGCACTGTTTAAAAAACAAAAGTTTTTAAAAAGTAGAGCTAATATATTCCTCAGTTGAATAAAAACATTTTTCCAATAATATGTTTTTTATTGTTGATTTGGATGTTAGTTCCTTTATTTTGTTAGGTAAGTGATTATATAAATTGACATTTAAGGTGTTTTTAATAGTTTACAGGGGTGAGTCGCAAACAAATGGTTCACACTGTTTATAGGTGTAAAAGCAAAAAGGTGAAAATCGTTAAAATCTTTAATAATTAATAAATAGTTCGTCGAGGACTAAACGAGCGG